GGTGGGTTGGGCCAGGTACGCGTCGCTGCCTCCGCCGCGCACCCGGTCGATCCCCAGTCCGTCTCCATTTCCCAGCAACGTAACCTGGGCTGAATGCGCCCGCCCGCCCAGGTTTCCGTGAGGGCCGATCGTGCGCCCTACGGCCGAGGGCCCCCGACCCCACCCGGACCCTCCTGGCCCTGAACGACCGCCGGCTTCGCCAGGGTTCAAACCGGCAGGTTCCGATGACAAGGGAACAACGTTTATCCTGTATCTGCTAACAAACCGAGAAGTTTTCCTTTCTCTCTTTTCATTTTTTGGCGCGGGGGTGGGGAAGAGACAGGGTCTCACTATGTATTTTAGACTGGCCTTTAAATAACTAAGTAGCCTAGGATAGCCTCGAACTCGTGGCGATCCTCCTGCCTCTAGAGAGGCCTCCCAAATGCTGAGATTACAAGTGTGCACCACCACCCAGCTCTTTTAAATTTTTTATATTTTTTAGTTTTTATTAGTTTGCAAGTACATGATTACATCCATCGTGGGGAATTTGTACATGTACAGAATACATCTCAGTTATTTTTTCCCTTCCTCTTTGTAAGGGTCAGGGGAAAATGGCCGTCATTGGAGACCCTGCAGTAGGTCCCAGCCTCCTGTGAGCCACCATAGCACCTGCTAATGGTTAAAGAATTGACGGAACTAGACTTATAGTGAAGCTGAGTCTTGGGTCCTGTTCAATTCTGCTGATAGCAGCAAAGACAAAGACCCCAAGCACATTCAGTATTCATTCAATATAGTTATGAGAAGGAATAGGGAGCTAGGGAGCTTTGGAGTCATCTACTCAATTACTATCGAGGACCTGGCATGATGGTTCCAGGAAGAGCTGTCAAGGAGCAGGCACTGTTTATCTTGCTTAAACAGAAGAAACTGGTACTGTGACCAGGCACAATTAGCAAGCAACCCACATGGTCACTGAGAAGCGATAATTCAGAGGAAAGGATTTTAACTGGGGTCACACTGACCTCAGGGGCATGTAATTCAGCAGGGCCCTGCCACTTCACAGACCAGGATGTAGGCCTCAGCGACAGCCATTAGCAAAGGAGCAATACTGGCCTAAATCTGCTAATGACATGCCAGTTTAAGTCACCCAGGGGTTTGGTCTGGCTCCTGATAAAAAACAATATAGCCGAATTAGGGAAAGTAAGAAGCAAGTGCCATTCATAGCCCGCTAGTACTGGGCAGGGATGCATACTACACCCCTTCACCTCCTTTAAAAAAAAATGTTTTTGCCAGTATCAGATTCATTTCTTTTAAGCTCT